ACAAGGCGTGAAAGTAGAAGGGTCTACTACAATATCCGAGGAAGCTCCAGCTTCTCCAACTATTGCTGGCACTAAGGAGATAAAACCTCCATGTCATTCTGGTTTTGCATAATTCCGCCAAATTATATGAAATCCAATGATGTACCGTTAACTAATTTTAGCAAAACAATTATAAAAGCATTCTGGTAAGGTATATTTGATGTGAAACTACTAGGAGTTACTTGAGAAATTAAAACAAGACAGTTGACTAAAACTTGCTAATAAAGTTATTGCTTGCAAATAAAGAGAAGTTAGAAATTCCAAGTATTCAACTTGCTTAGGCAAAGAAACACTTTTGAGATTAACCAAACTATCCAATTAAAATTCAAAGACTATAGTAAATGATACATGGACATAACATAATTCACCACTTAATAACGAGCGGTTCACCTTGAGTGCCTTCTCACTCAATCACTCTTATGCTTTAGCGGAGAAAGATGAACCATACGAGGAAGGATATTAGCACTAGGAAGACAACGCCGAAGACAATCGTTGATGGAGAAGTAGCCCGCGGTGGAGGAGGCGGTGGGTGACCGATGAATATCCAATGACCTGGTTGAAGGTGCTCATCAATCGATAATGTTAGTTGGTATAAGATGCAGTCGATGTATCCGTTAACAATCTCGTCATTATCAAAGTACACGTCAAAGAAAGGAGATCCAAGAATATCCGTTCATCCTTGCTCGTCGAATACAAATCCATGGTCGACCTTAGGGTCTGCCATACACCATTGGTAGAAAGGGGGAAAGAACTTGTCTTCTTCACGTAGCTTCAAACAACATAAAAGTTTTAGGTTTTCCATGGGAGAGGATGTAAGTGGAGAGGGGCGGCCAAGGGGAAGAGAAGGGAGGGGGGGGGGGGGAGAAAGTTTTAGAAAATCAGAAATTAATTTAGATTTAAGTGGATTTGGAGGGAATTAAATTTGAAATTTGATTTCAAATTCAAATGAGATGAGGGCTCAAAGAGGAAAACATAAGAGAAAAGCCCAATAAGGGGGCCGGCGGCATTAAGAGGAGGAGGTTTGTGGGGAGGGATTTAAGAGTTTCCAAAACAACTCATGGGAATTAAGAAAGGAATTAAGAAATCCATTCTAATTTGAATTTCAAATAGGCTTGATTTTATACATTTTCCTAATTAGGATATGCAAATAAGAAAAATATTTGAAATTTAAATTTCAAATTTCAAATAAGATTAATTTCTTTCATTTTCTACTTGGAGTTAATTTAGGAAGGGAATTATGATGATTGAAATCATCATAATTGAGGTGGAGCAAAGGGGAAGGCCGGCAGTAATGGGGAAGGGGGAGATGGCGTCGGGTGAGGGGAAGGGGGAAAGGCTTGGGCTATTGGTGGGAGCTTGAGGTGGTGGAGCTAGGGAGGATTTCGGTGGGAGAGGATTGGCGGTGGTGGCAGGGGAAGTAGGAGCCAGCGGTTGGGGCGGGAAAGAGAAGAAATGAAAATAAGATAGATTAAACCACGAGCCACTGACTCTTCCAACGACTGGTGGGTATTGCGCTTGCCCTCTCCTGGAGATCTCTCTCCCTTCTCTCTGGTGCTCACACAAGAAGAAGAAGAAGAAAAAGACAAAATTTTATTATCAAATCATCATCCTTTTTCAACACATAAGACCACAATATATAGATCTCAAGCATGAAAAGAAAAGTACGTAATTTCCCTCCGAGCTATAATAACAAGACACTAACCCATAGGGGTAAATTTGGAAAATAACAAAACTATTCGACGAGGAGACAGAGGAGGAAAAGAAGGCCGCCGAGGATCGCGCAGCTGCCGTGAAAGCATCCAGAAAGAAGAAAGAGAGTAAGGCTTTTAACTTTTTCTGTCATATCAGAGTTTTCACACATTTTTATTAGTCTGTACTCATTATTATTTTACCTGCAACATATTTTCAACAGGTGGAAAGTCTTCAGTTTTATTGGACGTTAAGCCTTGGGATGATGAGACAGACATGCAGAAGCTTGAAGCAGCAGTAAGGAGTGTTAAAATGGATGGCTTGCTATGGGGAGCTTGTATGTGATCAATTGTCCTTGTATTTGTTTTATCTGTTATCTTGGTTGATTGTGTGGAAAGTTACTCTTTTAATGGAAATGAAGGGGCTATTTTGTAGCAGGAATTAGGCCGGATTTGAGTGAAATCTAGCCAAACGGCCTAAAATACAAAACTAAATCTCATAGCAAAAGAAAGCCGTCGTAGACAGAAAATTCTGCCTTTTCGTGCTAAATCCTGGATTTTCGAAATCCTTTTTTTTTCCGCATTTATGAATTCCATTGGGTCGAGAGGAAGAGTCCGCTCGTTTAATCCGCTCTACACCCAAACAGTCACACGAGATTATTTAAATTGTTGTTGACTGGCAATGCCGTGCACCTGTCTCTAGCGATAGAACTGAACTTGTCAAATCCATTCTAAATGATGTTTGGGTTTTAGTGACATCTGGAACTGTAGATTATTCTTCTAATCCATCGACGAAAAGTCAATACGAGAAAAGCTTATTTAAATGTGATGATGATAGATGACAAATTTTTTTCCCATAATATTTTTTAAGTATTTTTTAATTATTGTTTTGTTGGTGCCACATTTTATTTAATGAAATTGCTTTTGCCATTTTATGATATTTGAGATAAATGTTTTTATTACAATCACTATTTCTTTCCTCTATTTACTATTATGATGCCAAATGATATTTAATACTCTTATGAATATTGGGTGTTTATTTTATTCAAGAGGCAAATCTACAATTCTTGTATGTGATTTTTAAATTCTATGTTTGTGCTTGTGGTGTTCAAATATGAGTTGGATATGCTAGTAGAGTTGGAAAATTCAACTGTTGAGAAAGTTCAGAATTTGGTATTGAAGATGCAGGATGATATCAACAAATTAGAATTCCCGTTTCACATTGAGGATCACTTAACCTGTTTGTGTTCATCACAATCATTTTACATATGTGCTTAATTATTTTTTCCTTATGAGAAATCTTTTCTTTTTGAAAGCTCGAAATTTGAAGTGCATTAAACGGGTATATGTTGAAAATAGCTTCGACGTAGTGGATGCTTTGAAAAAAATGCTAGTGTTGCTTTGCCCCTCATATTGGATCGTTTGAAATAGAAACAAGAGCAATGGACTGGTTGTCGTGCTGACTTTAATAAGTTCTGGTCTGAAATTTATGCATATTACTATTACAAATGACTCAGTTTCAATTTTACTCAATAAGATTTGATGAGCTAGAGTCCTTAAGGTTTATGGCTGTAATTTTTTGGCCATGTAGAAAGAATTTACTTGTTAAGATCTAATATTATTTTTCTGAGTTATTAGTGGTGGCCTGTTCTTTGCAGCTCTTCTTGCTGAGATCAAAGAAATCTATCAGAAGAAAAAGTAAAAAATGATGATGCGATCTTGCTATTGCTGCTGAAAATTAAAACCTGCAGTTCCTAATAGGGAATTTTTTCACTTGAAGCCATACAGCCGTTAGGATCTATATCTTATTAAAACTAATCATGTCATTGAATCTACGTATCCAAAACTCAGCTGGTTAAAGTACTAAAAGAAGAACTATTGCAGATGGAGTTAGAGCTTATGGTTCTTAAGAATAAACAACCTGTTAAGCGACATAAAACTCTCAAAGGCCCCCTGGTTCATGTAAGAGTGCAAGCTTATGCTCAGAGAGCTGATGAATGGTTTCCATTTGCGGAACAAGCTACTCCACTCCCATGGAGCATCTCCAACCGAACGCCAAACATGCGTATGGCGTCATAAAAACTTCATCATGGTGGCCCCCGTAGCTTAAATTAAATATGGTTTAGGAGGGAAGTATTGAATGAGGGGATGTTTAGGGATTAATTAATTTTCCTTTTGCTTTAATTAGTCTTTCTTGTTAGGGTTTGCGATTATCTTGAATTTGAAATTAGATTTGGGATCTAGTATTTTCCTTTGGGCTCAGGCTTGGCTAGAGATTTATACTTTGTAGAACTGTTTCTTCTTCTCGAATTGAAGGGCCTACTACAATATTCGAGGAAGCTCCAGCTTCTCTAACTATTGCTGACACTAAGGTGATAAAACCTCCATGTCTCTTGGTTTTGCATAATTCCACCAAACTATATGAAATCAAATGATTTACCGTTAACTAATTTTAGCAAAATAATTATAAAAGCATTCTTGTAAGGTATATTTGATGTGAAACTACTAGGAGTTACTTGAGAAATTAAAATGAGACAATTGATTAAAACTTGCTAATAAAATTATTGCTTGCAAATAAAGAGAAGTTAGAAATTTCAAGTATTCAACTTGCTTAGGCAAAGAAACACTTTTGAGATTAACCAAAGTATCCAATTAAAATTCAAAGACTATAATGAATGATACATGGACATAACATAATCCACCACTTAATAACGAGAGGTTCACCTTGAGTGCCTTCTCACTCAATCACTCTTAGTTTTTAACGGAGAAAGATGAACCATATGAGGAAGGATATTACCACTTGGAAGACGGCGCCGAAGACAGTCGTTGATTGAGAAGTAGCCGGCGGTGGAGGAGGTGGTGGGTAACCGATGATTATCCAATGACCTGATTGAAGGTGCTCTTCAATCAATAATGTTAGTTGGTATAAGATAAAGTCGATGTATCTGTTAACAGTCTCGTCATTATCAAAATACATGCCAAAGAACGGGGATCCAAGAAAATCCGTTCGTCCTTGCTCGTTGAAGACAAATCCGTGGTCGACCTTAGGGTCGGCCATACGCTAATGGTAGAAAGGAGGAAAGAACTTGTCTTCTTCTCTTAGCTTCAAACAACAAGAGAGTTTTAGGTTTTCCAAGGGAGAGGATGTAAGTGGATATGGGCAGCCAAGGGGAAGAGAAGGAGGGGGGGGGGGGTTGGTTGAGAGGGAATTATGTTAGGTTAGAGGGTGGGAGAGAAAGTTTTAGAAAATCAAAAATTAATTCATATTTAAGTGGATTTGGAGGGAATTAAATTTGAAATTTGTTTTCAAATTCAAATGAGGTGAGGGCTCAAAGAGGAAAACATAAGAGAGAAGCCAATAAGGGGGCCGGCGGCATTAAGAGGAGGAGTTTTGTGGGGAGGGATTTAAGAGTTTCAAAAACAACTCATGGGAATTAGGAAAGGAATTAAGAAATCCAATCTAATTTGAATTTCAAATAGGCTTGATTTTATGCATTTTCCTAATTAGGATATGCAAATAAGGAAAGTATTTAAATTTCAAATTTCAAATAAGATTAATTTGTTTCCTTTTCTCCTTGGAGTTAATTTAGAAAGGGAATTATGATAATTGAAATCATCATAATTGAGGTGGAGCAAAGGGGAAGGCTGGCGGTAATGGGGAAGGGGGAGATGGCGTTGGGTGAGGGGAAGGGGGAAAGGCTTGGGCTATCGGTGGGAGCTTAAGGTGGAGGAACTAGGGAGGATTTCAGTGGGAGAGGATGGGCGGTGGTGGCAGGGGATGTAGGAGCCGGCAGTTGGGGCGGGGAAGAGAAGAAAAGAAAATAAGATAGATTAAACCACGAGCCACGAACTCTTCCAACGACTGGTGGGTATTTCGCTTACCCTCACCTTGAGCTCTCTCTCCCTTCTCTCTAGTGCTCACACAAGAAGAAGAAGAAGAAAAGGACAAAATTTTATTATCAAATCATTATCATTTTACAACACATAAGACCACAGTATATATGTCTCAAACATAAATAAAAAAGTACGTAATTACCCTCCGAGCTACAATAACAAGACACTTACCCATAGGGGTAAATTGGGAAAACAACAAAACTACATAAATTACAACATAAATAAGTGCATCAAAAGTAAAGGCGCTGAATCGTAGACGTCTATCTATAATTATGTCGTCAGTACACGTATCTGAATCTCTAAATGATGTCCTCATCAATATCTTATTTGAATCATTTCAAGAGATAATTTATGTTCTTCCTTCTAATGTTTATTTTTTGCAAGTATTTGTTAGATCTGAACCAGTCCATCTTGGACTTGTTCATGTCAACACCCGCCGGTCCAAGAAAGGAGGTGAAAGAGTGAGGGGGGAGGGGCATCATTATGGGCCCCATGGCTTAAATTAAATATGGTTTATGAGGGAAATGTTGAATGAGGGGCTGTTTTGGGATTAATTAATTCTCCTTTTGCTTTAATTAGTCTTTCTTGTTTGGGTTTGGGATTATCTTGAATTTGAAATCAGATTTGGGATCTAGGGTTTTCTTTTGGGTTCTAGGCTTGGCTAGAGATTTATACTTTGAAGAGTTGTTTCTTCCTCTCGAATTAAAGAAACTTGTATCTTTTGTTGTTTTCCTACAACAACTAGTGGAATATTTCATTTTTTATAAAATTTTCCCATGAAACATGCTATATTTTGCTAATTTCTGCTGCAAACAGTAGTTTTACTCATTGTTTGCACCAATTGTGGTTAGGTTTGCTTGCGAACTCAAGTATTTCCCTTAGGGTTACTTTCGAACTCAAGTATTTTCTAACAGTGTCCTCTTTTATTAACTATAAGATAAATTAGCATAACTGTGCTAGAAAGCAGTAAATTCTATCTTTTTTTGAAAGAATATGTTATATGCATGTTGCTTCAGCTGCTGAAAGTATATTAGTTTTCTGATTGCATTTGGCTATTTAAGTTTTCCACAATCCTAGATATCTTCTATTCAGCCATGCTGCAATTTTTTCTAATTGGAACTTGAGATTTAGGCCCCAGTTGATGAGGATGACGATGATGATGTTGATCTATTCGGCGAGGAGACAGAGGAGGAAAAGAAGGCCGCCGAGGATCGCGCAGCTGCCGTGAAAGCATCCAGAAAGAAGAAAGAGAGTAAGGCTTTTAACTTTTTATGTCATATCAGAGTTTTCACATATTTTTTTTACCTGCAACATATTTTCAACAGGTGGAAAGTCTTCAGTTTTATTGGACGTTAAGCCTTGGGATGATGAGACATACATGCAGAAGCTTGAAGCAGAAGTAAGGAGTGTTAAAATGGAGGGCTTGCTATGTGGAGCCTGTATGTGATCAATTATCCTTGTATTTATTTTATGTGTTATCTTGGTTGATTGTGTGGAAACTTACTCTTTTAATGGAAATGAAGGGGCTGTTTGGTAGCAATAATTAGGCCGAATTTGAGTGAAATCCAGCCAAACGGCCTAAAATGCAAAACTAAATCTCACGACAAAAGAAAGCCGACATAGATTAAAAATTCTGCCTTTTTGTGCTAAATCCCAAATTTCTGAATTCCTATTTTTGCCGGATTTACGAAATCCATTGGGTCGAGAGGAAGAGTCCGCTCGTTAAATCCGCTTTACAGCCAAACAGTCACACGAGATTATTTAAATTGTTATTGACTGGCAATGCTGTGCACCTACCTCTAGCGATAGAACTGAACATGCCAAATCCATTCTAAATGATGTTTGGGTTTCAGTGACATCTAAAATTGAAGATTAATCTTCTAATCCATCGAGGAAAAGTCAATACGAGGAAAGCTTATTTAAATATAAAGATGATATGTGATAAAAATTTTTCCCTTAATATTTTTTAAGTATTATTTATTTATTTTTTAATTATTGTTTTGTTGTTGCCACATATTGCTTAATGAAATTGCTTTTGACATTTCATGATATTTGAGATAAATGTTTTTATTACAATCACTATTTCCTTCCTCTATTTACTATTATGATGCCAAATGATATTTAATACTCTTATGAATATTGGGTGTTTATTTTATTCAAGAGGCAAATCTACAGTTCTTGTATGTGATTTTTAAATTCTATGCTTGTGCTTGTGGTGTTCAGATATGAGCTGGATATGCTAGTAGAGTTTCTAAATTCAACTGTTGAGAAAGTTCAAAATTTGGTATAGAAGATGCAGGATGATATCAACAAATTAAAATCCCAGTTTCACATTGAGGATCACTTAACCTATTTGTGTTCATCACAATCATTTTACATATGTGCTTAATTATATTTTCATCTTAATTATTTTTCCTTATGAGAAATCTTTTCTTTTTGAAAGCTTGAAATTTGAACTGCATTGAACAGGTATATGGTTATAATGGCTTCGACGTAGTGGATGCTTTGAAAAAAATGCTAGTGTTGTCCCTCATATTGGACCGTCTAAAACAGAAACAAGAGGAATGGACTAGTTGTTGTGCTAACTTTAATAAGGTATGGTATGAAATTTATGCATATTACTATTATAAATGACTCAGTTTCAATTTTACTCAATAAAATTTGATGAGCTATAGTCCTTGAGGTATCTGGCTGTAATTTTTTGGCGATTTAGGAAGAATTTGCTTGTTAAGATCTAATATTATTTTTCTGAGTTATTAGTGGTGGCCTCTTCTTTGCAGCTCTTCTTACTGAGATCAAAGAAATCAATCATAAGAAAAAGTAAAAAAAGGATGATGCGATCTTGCTATTGTTGTTGAAAATCAAAATCTGCAGTTCCTACTAGGGAATTTGATCACTTGGAGCCAGACAACCATTAGGATCTATATCAGATTAAACTAATCATGTCATGGAATCTATGTGTCCACAACTCAGCTGGTCAAAATACTAAAAGAATAACTATTGCTGATGGAGTTAGAACTTATGGTTCTTAAGAATAAACAACTTGTTTAGCGACATAAAACTCTCAAAGGCGCCCTAGTTCATGTAAGAGTGCAGGCTTATGCTCAGAGAGCTAATGAATGGTCTCCATTTGTGGAACAAGCTACTCCACTCCCATGGAGCATCTCCAACCGAACGCCAAACATGCATATGAAGTCATAAAAACTTCAATAAGCAACTAGAAAGCTATTTTAAGAAGCAATAAAAAAGCTCTCCCAAACAAAACCTTAATCTAATTCATTTCCTTTGAACCTACTGACAATCAAGTAAAAACTTCAATCAGCTACCAAGCTTCAAAGGATGACATTGTTGTGTATGCTGAATTCTCTGCTCCATCATCGGCAGACTATGTCAATGTGTCTAGGTGGTATAACCACATTGAGGCACTGTTGAGGATGAGGTATATTCTTCAACATAATTTACCTTTCCAGCTTTTTTCATTACCAACTTGCTATGAAACTTTTGCTTTCACTGTGCATTATATCAATGTATCTGGTGAGGGACAAGGCATGAAAGTAGATGGGTCTACTACCATATCCGAGAAAGTTCCAGCTTCTCAACCTATTGCTGACACTAAGGTGATAAAACCTCCATGTCATCCTGGTTTTGCAAAATTCCGCCAAACTATATGAAATACAATGATGTACAGTTAACTAATTTTAGCATAACAGTTATAAATGCATTCTTGTAAGGTATATCTTATTTGAAACATTTAAAGAGATAATTTATGTTCTGCCATATAATGTTCGTTTTTTGCAAGTATAATTTAGGCCGGCTGAACAGGTCCAACCTGAACCAGTTCTGGTTTACTGCCGACGGCCTGGGGGAGGGTGGAACCAAGGGAGAGGGGGGTGGATGGCCTAGTGGGCCCAAGCAATTAATGTAATGGGTGTTTAGGAGGGAAATTTGAATTAGAGGGATGTTTAAGGATTTTGTATGTCTCTTTTTGCTTTAATTAGGGTCTAATGATAGAATTAGGGTTTCATCTTGAATTTTGAAGGAATTTGAGGTCTAGGATTTGTGTTCTTGTGTTCTAGGCTTGGCTAGAGATTTGTTTTTTCCTTTCGAATTGAAGAAACTTGTATCGTTTGTTGTTTTCTTGCATCTATTAGTGGATTCACCCATTGTTTTTCTCATTTTTCTCTGTTTTCCTAAGAAAAACTATTGTAATTTGCTGTTTGACTGCTGTATACAGCAGTTATCTTCACTGCTTTCACCAAATCTTGCTAGGTTTGCTTGCGAACTCAAGTAAACAGGTGGAAAGTCTTCAATTTTATTGGACGTTAAGCCCTGGGATGATGAGACAGACATGCAGAAGCTTGAAGCAGCTGTAAGGAGTGTTAAAATGGAGGGCTTGCTATGGGGAGTCTGTATGTGACCCGTTGGCCTTGAATTTTTTTTATATGTGTTAACTTGGTTGATTGTGCAGAAAGTTACTCGTTGAATGGAAATGAAGAGGCTGTTTGGTAGCAGGATATAGGCTGGATTTGAGCAAAATCCAGTCAAACGGCCTAAAATGTAAAACAAAATCTCACAGCAAATGAAAGTCGCTATAGACGAAAAATTCCGCCTTTTCGTGCTAAATCCCATATTTTTGAAATCCTATTTTTTGCCAGATTTACGAAATCAATTGGTTCTAGAGGAAGAGTCCACTCTTTAAATCTGCTCTATAGTCACACGGGATTTAATAGGATTTATCTTGACTGTTACTAAACAGTTTTCAGGATTTAGGTCCCTCAAGATTTTTGAAATCCGGATTTAGAGGATTTATGAAATCTTACTTAAATCAAATCCTGGGTGCTACCAAACTGCCCCTAAATGATGAACTTGTTTGGTACTCTTTTGCAGAAAAAGTTTTATGTTGAGATGCTTTTTACTTATTAAATAGGTTTTTTTGATTATGTTGCAGCAAAGCTTGTTCCGGTTGGATACGGAATCAAGAAATTGCAGATCTTGTTGACCATTGTGGATGACTTGGTATATGTAGACAACCTCATTGAGGATCACCTAACTGCCAAACCAGCAAACGGGCACATCCAGAGTTCCGATATCATCGCATTTAATAAAATATGTAAGTTTATTCACTCAAATTAACTGTCCTATTGGAACCTGCTTTTCCCTCTATTCATTTTCTCACTAATTTTATTTAATTTTATTGTTCATTGCAGAGAAAATTGTAAGGACTTAGAAATAAAAGCTGCAGAGTGAGAGGATTGGTATGTCAGTATTGCTTCTTGTTCTTGCATATTTGCTTTTGTATCTTCATTCTTCAACACGTGTTTTTGTCAGCTGGAATATTTGTACTCATGTAGACATTTTGATCCTCAATCAAGAATGTTATGTTGAACGAGTTGCTATTATTTGATGTGATATGTATCGGCATGAATAGCTGGCTGTGAATTTTGTTATTTAGGTTTTGTTTGGGATGACTTTTTTATTGCTTCTTAAAACAGTTTTTTAGTACAACAAATAAATTTTTTGTACTAAAATTTTGTTTTAAGAAGCAAAAAAAAAAGTTGTCGCAAACGAATTCTTAGGTTTCATTTGGAACAGCTTTCTTATTGCTTTCTAATCTAATTTTTAAATACAATTTTTTTAAATAAAAATTTGGGTGAGAAAATATTTTTAGAAAGCAATAAGAAAGCTGCTTTGAATCTAATGAATTTGTTGTGGGTATTGTGATTTCGGTGGAAGGAGACTAGCTTTGAGTGAGAATGTTTGATTATGATTTAGATTTTATTTTATTTTTGGTGGTGGACTTTTTTTATTTTATTAGTTGCTTTTTATGTTATTATTATTTATTTTTTATTAAAATATAAAAATATTTGATCATCTTTATTCTCGAACTCTTATTCATCTCCTTGTTGTTTTGACTTTAATATGATAGTTAGTTTTATTAAAATATTATTATTAGAATTTTATCATAATAAATTTAAAATTTATTTTATGATAAATGCAATGTAATTTGAAATGCTTATGTTTTTTCTGTTATGAATATTATAAGAAATCAACTACTAAATATAATTAGTGATTAATTAATTGACAATGGTTTAGCGAAGAAATATTTGATTATATTTGTTGCGTCCTCGTGTATTTGCAACAATAGAGAAATATATAGTTTAACGTCTTAGCATTATATGAAAATCTAATACACAAGCATATAAGAGAGAGAGTGTAGCATTCATAAGAGTCACCAGAGTTTTTACGTTTAAACCCCTGAAAAGAGGGAAAAATCATGGGTCCTGACCTAGTTTAAATGAATGCACTGGTATTTGCAGTCGATTATAAATAAGGCCCTTCTTAGGGAGAAGGCCTTGACTTTATGTTACAATTGTATGTCATATAGAGCGCATTACATGGTGGGAGTTTCAATAATCCATAGACATGTTTGTTTGGTTGGAAGGGCCATTAGAGGTGATGGAGGTCGGAAGGACCATAGTCCCCAGGAGACAGAGATCATAAAGACCATTGTCTGGCGATGTAGGTTGGAAGGACCGTAGTAGGTGATGGAGGTCGGAAGGACCGTAGTCGGCAGGAGACAGGGGTTCGAAAGATCGTAGTTGGCAGGAAACTAGGGTCAAAAATATCGTTGTCTGTTAATGGAGGTCGGAAGGATCATAGTAGACGACAGAGGTTGGAAGGATCGTAGTCGGCAGGAGATTGGGTTCAAAAGACGATTGTTTAGTGATGGAGGTCGGAACGACCATAGTAGGCGAAAAAGGTCGAAAGGACTGTAGTCGGCAGGAGACTGGGGTCTGAAAGCCCATTGTAGTAAGTTGTACTCTAGTAGAACTTTGGGTGTCAAGTGGTGGCCCAGCAGAAGTCCGGGCCTCAGGTGGTGTTCAGGTAGAGCACAGGGCCTGAAGTGGCTGTTGGGTGGAAGTCCGAGCCTTATGTGGTGGCCTGGTGAAGCACAGGGCCTCAAGCGGTAGTCCGGTGGAAGTCCGGGCCTCAAGTGGTGGTATGGCAGAGGTTATGGCCTCAAGTGGTGGTTTGACGAAGCAACGACGTCAGGTGGTAGTCCGGCGGAGCAACGACGTTAGGCGGTGTTCTGGCGGAGGTGAGGGCCTCAAGTGATGGTCCGACGAAGGCGAGGGCCTTAAGCGGTGGTTCGGCGGAGCAACAATGTTAGGCGGTGGTCCGACAGAGGTGAGGGCCTCAAGTGGTGATCCAGCAGAGCAATGGCGTCAGACGGTGGTCCGACGGAGGTGAGGGCCTCAAGTGGTGGTCCGACAAAGGCGAGGCCCTCAGGTGGTGGTTCGACGAGCAACAGCGTCAGGCAGTAGTCCGGTAGAGGTGAGGGCCTCAAGTGCTGGTATTGCGGAGCAATGGAATCAGGTGGTGGTCCGGCGAAGGTGAGGGCCTCAAGTAGATATCCGACGAAGGCGAGGGCCTCAGGTGGTGATCCAGCGGAGCAACAGCGTTAGGCGGTGGTCCGGTGGAGGTGAGGGGCCTCAAGTGGTGGTCTGGCGGAGCAACGAAGTTAGGTGATCGTTCGACGGAGGTGAGGGCCTCAAGTGGTGGTCTGGCGAAGGCGAGGGCCTCAGGTGGTGGTCCGACGAATGTCCTGTGGTGGTCCGGCAAAACTCTGGCGGTGGTTGAGGAGGCGCTTATTCCTTCTCTT